GATTGAATCAATAATAATGACAAAACCGAGCCAGTTTTTGCTACCTGTACTGATCTAATTTCTAGCTGGCTCGCAAACCTACTCCTACCTACTGCCTCTTCCCGTGACGAGAAGAGGAGGGGGGAGGGGCGAGAGAGCCAGCCGGGTTCTTGAAATTGAACACTTAGCTAATATACTCGTGGTATAAAGAAAAGTGCAATACAAAATCAAGTTAGTGATTAGTGAATGTATAACTGTAATAGTTTACAATAATATGTTTAAACGCAAAAGAGATCGTTACGTTGATCACGATTCACAGAGCACAATATGAAGATGTTTGCCGTATGAACGCCGCGGACTCTCAACAACAACAAAGCACGAACTGACAGATGATGACATCGTCTCAATCCGAATTCCGGTGTTTGAGTTCAACCATGGCTGAGACAATTAATAAATCAAAGAATTTATTCCAGTTTCAGAAGTATCAACATTTATTTGGAAGCCTGGAGGTTAAAAACAGTCGAATTTAAAGCTGCAGCAAGCTGTGAATATTAAGCTAAATCATGAATCGGTAACAGGCCAGATTTTAAATAATCAAAGATAAACGTTATTTCTCTTCATTTTTTTTAGGCTGCTAACAGCCAAAATCTCGAATTTTAAGCGATGGTACAGTCCTTATTTAACGCAACAAGTTCCATTTATTATTTTTTATCCTGTATTACCTAATTTCCTGTATGACGTAATCAGATGATTCACCGCCTGGTACGAAAGAATCTCACACAGAGCTGCGTCATAAACATTAATATTCTGCCGCATTGCCCGGAAGGCTTGGCATTATTATTGTAAACGAACTTACTGTATATCGCCCCTTCTGCTCCGATGTACGTCCCTCCACCAGGTAGCATTCACATAGTGTTTTCCGCTCTGCAAAGAAACAATCAGAAACGTCTTGGTACCTTTTAGGCATGCCTTTTAGGTACCTAAAGAATATCCGTTTAAATATAGGTATTTGATTCAGAAATGGAATTATGTTCCCATTACTCTGGTTGAGTTTAGTTTTAGTTTAGTGGCCAAATGTTTACTAGCGCTTCAGCTATTTAGCTATCTCGCACCGAAAGTCAAGATGAACATCACCATAGAGGTGGAAGGTCTCAATTATTCATCACCCACAAGGGGCGGAAGGTCTCAGATGTCCAGCCCGCTGAAGCTGGCTCGAAAGAAGCAGCGTTAGCATCTCAAAGAGACGAAGTGACAGGGAGGGACAGGTGAAAAGCAACAGAAACGAAGACAAGAACAAGAGGTCGAACAAGAGGTCGCTTACACGGGACGTCGGCCACCCGCACGAGAGAGACAGAGAAGGGAAATGTAAGGAATCCTACCTACATAATAACTTAACCCCACAACTGAGACCAACGGTCAGACACCGCGAGCTCAGCGGTGGGGCGCTCAGGAACAATCCCCCTAGGAACGCGAAATCCCATAGGACTTCTGACGCGCACAGACACCCGTCAGAAATCCCCCCTGAGGGGTTACTCTGGTTGAAAATGCAGCATTAGCTTATTTTAAGTGACCACGTTTCTATAGATGGGTATTAAAGCACAAAAGTAGATAATACAGATGATGAAAAAAGATGCCTCTAAATTTTATCTGAATGATAATTTTGCTAAAATAAATAAAATGCCAGTCCTGGAGATGCCGTCACATATAGATGACTTGAACATCGCACACGCATCACACTATGTGGGGATTGTTATGGCAAAACCATATTCGAATGAAACTGGTGTCGGGCTATTGAAACTGGTAATGAAACGTTCCTTGACTTGCATAGGAAGATGGCATCTGCCAGCTGATATTTTCATCAGTGAATTTATTGCAGGAGTCCACGAAAAGTGAATTGTCGCTCTTAAAAGGTAACTAAGCACGGGAAAAGGCTCATTTAATATAAAGTTACTTCAATCTTTGTTTTCCTGTTCACTCCAATGTACAATATAATGCAATTTTAATAGTATAGTATCTTCAGTATTTAGGAATAAGTCTGGATAGGCATGTCGCCGTGTGGACAAATATACGTTGGAATTGGAATTGGAATTGGGGTGCGTGGTGACCTACGGTCACGACCTTTAAATCGGTCATACACGCTGCCTAAAAAACTTTTACTAGCATCAAAAAATTAAAAGTTCACACTCTTATGTTAACAAAAAAGTTCAAATATACCATATTCACAGCTGTCCTAAGAAAAAATATAAAAATTTGACAATCGCAAAAAATTAAAACCACGTACTAAAACCTGTCTCTTATACACATCTAGATGTGTATAAGAGACAGNCACCCTATTTTCTTAACAGCAGCGGCCGATGATCGGGCTTGGGTTGTTCTGCAGTCGATTCTAAGGGTTGTGAGGAGAGGGCAGTGCCACACAAGCCTATCAAGACCATCGGCCGAAAGTTCGTGCAGGTAATCAGCCTTTATGAATAAATTGTCAATTGATAGCGTTCCAGATACTGACATGGCCTCAATTATTACATCTTCACAAAAATTCTCGTAACCTTCATCGAAGAAGTTAAATTTCCATTCACTGTAAATCAAATTTAAATTTTTATATAATGCCAGGAGCGCTATGTGAAAATCTGAAATAATTCGAACTGGACCATAGCTGAGCTCAATTTGTTTCAAATTTGCGAATTGGATTTCGACTCTTTGTTTTGGTTTGATCTTCAAACACTTCACTAGATTCTCATAAGATTGATCACCAAAGAATGCTCGAGCAAAGCCTTGACGTGATAGAACCAGCCAAGGATAGCAGTGTAAGAGCCGCAGCCTCTCGAGCCTCGGACAGAACTTGCTGGCAGCCACGAGAAGATCGTCGGTTATATTCAAGTGGGACAGGTTGAGCTCTCTTATGTTCGGCGCCGCCTTCAAAACGCTCTCAACAATGCCGGGGTACATCGCTCCATAGCACGACAACACTTTAGTCGGTAGTGGCTCTGTCTCTTATACACATCTAGATGTGTATAAGAGACAGAGCTAACACGGGCCAGGTCTTTCCACCCTTGCCAGCTATTATCAGCGGGCCTATAACACTCGCCACGCTCCCAAACGCTAGCTAGGTAAAACGAATATTATAACGTTAGCAAACCACTGTCACTCTAACAGAACACTGATTGAACACTTGTCTCATATCTTAGGGCCGTAGCCCACTTCTAGAATGTGGAGGACTCAGTAAAACGTGGTAAAGGGAACAGTGAAAATAACGTATGGAAATGGTTTGTCGACTATATGTGTCTAGCAAGTCAGAGAATGCAATTTGTTCTAATTCCTCATGTCTAGCAAATAAAGATATGAATATTTTTCTTCCAGATCACAATCTCGCTGATGAGATGGCCACTCAATGCATTTTCCCAGCCCAAGTGAGCAGGTGTGCTAAATTAGCTGATGACGTCAGCGCTACAACGGTCAACACGCAATCATAATTTGCTGACCAGCAGTCACCTGGTGACAATTTCTAGTCGTAAGAAATGTAATATACTACGTCCAGTCTTCGTAAGTGATGGTCGCTGTATGACATCATGGCTAAAATGTCTATCTTTAGTCATAGGCTTTTTAATCCGCCAAATCGGATGCTACAACATGAGTGATGTTGTAGCTTTGTTATAGGTATAATGAGACGGCGCTATCGTACGAGTGTTTATCTAACGAAGATCTGTATCAGTCTCTCGACTTTGTTATCGCAGCTTTACCTCATCACCATATAAATACCCGGCCGTGAATCACCAGCCTAGTGTGAGCTCGTCCTCTGAACGCAAAATGTGGACGGTGTAATGTAATAACTTCAATAACAACAAATGTTTCAATGTGTGCCCACTAAACATGCTGCTCAAGACGGTGTGCGTTTTTTCCACAGAATTGATCGAATTATATACTCGGTGCAAGTGATTGACTTATGATAATTGGTTTGTGTGAGAAAATAATCTATAAATTAATATTACTAGCTCTGAACTCAGAAATAACTAGCAACAGTGACTTGAATGCATGAACAATAAATAATATTCAATTCCAGTTAACGTTATACTCTGTATTTAATACTTTTTTTTTGCAAAAGTTACTTTGACATGAGTTCGTGTGTGCTGAGTTATTTTTGTTCGAATTACAATCACAGGAACGTGGTCTGACTGATATGCTATCAAGCAATAATTACACAGTGCAAATTTTTAATACAGTAAAACTTGCATTGTTTTTGCTTCTTAGAAGTTTGAAGCTGTCGTGCATTTTGGAAAAAAAACATGGTTGCGTATCTCCTGAATGCCCGATTCCTAGAGTAATCTGATCGAGGTGCTTAAAAATAAGACGATCATATTTTTATAGTTGGGTTGAAGACGTGTAGTGGTAAAGGCATAGGACAAAACTAGCCACACTAATTGTAATAATCACTCAAAATCTAATATAATATCTATCACAACAAAATACAAAACATCAATTCCATTCCTACAAAATTCCTAATAGAGAGATGAACCCGATTTAATTCGGCAACGCGTCTCATGAGGCCCATTAACTTTCATGACGGCTGACGTGAGTTTTTATTTAAAGTCGTCATAACTTTTATGGTCAGGAAGCTATTGAGCTTCAATGATAAAATTTTGTCTTTATCAGACAATCGTATAATCTAGTACTAAAGTACTTAAATCCAACGCTTTGATATGACGTATTGTACGACATAGGGCGAGAATCATCCTTGAATTACTTGACATGAGTGCGATGGCGAGTGTCGTGAATGTGCATACGAATATAGAAATGTGAATAATTAAAGAAATTAGTAGGCTTATTGTTTGTTCACTCAGAATTTCGATCAGAAAATGCTATCACTTTTACAAGAGAAATGTCAAGGAAATGCACCTGTTTATGATGGAACTATTCCATCTCTCTGTGTGCATGTTATAAGCTACAGACGCACGAACACCAGGCAGGAACCAGCTTGTGGGCCTTCGGTGTCATCTGCTAATTAAATCGTCATCTTACTCTTCTTAATGCAATTTATCCCTGTTAGTGATCATAAGAGCATTTGATGACCTATCTAATCGATCCCTCTTTTCTACTCCCATGTGAACCAGTAGACTTCTCGAGGTGCAAGTATTTATCACATAAAATCCATTATTCTATTTAGCAAGCAAGCATTTCATAACACGAATAATATCTGAGGAATGGAGCCTTACGTGTGCCGTCTGGATGAAAACATTCAAGCCATCGCACGCAGGGAGCTGGGGGAAGACGCCCGCACGAGGGAAGAAGCCCTTGCCCAGTTCAGAGACTGGCTCAAGACAAAGCCGCACATTGTAGCCAGAACAGGTTAGTAAGAGATGGGGTATAAATGAGCAGAGAAATGTTCAAGGCAAATCCGAATATTATGGCCAGAACAAAGAACTTGAAACAGTTTTGCAATAATTAAAAAATATTTATAAGCGATTTGTTGAAATACCAATTTAACATACCAATTTTGGTCTACAGAAGGTAAATTTTTTGGTCATTTAAATCTGACGAATGATATTCAGTAAACTGGCATCAATACACTAAATCATGCCTGTATCGAATTAATTTTCTGGGCCGAAATTTCGTTAACAGACCACCAGACGCTTCTGCGTTACTTACGGGGTTGTAAATTCAACGTCGACAAAGCACAGATGAAGTTGGAAATGTACTATGCCTGCAAAACGGTGATGCCCAAGCTACTCATCAACAGAAATCCTTTCCTGCCAGAGATTCAAGCTGTCTTGCGACTTGGGTAAGTAGTAACCACAGGCAACCTTACCAATTTTGACAAGAATTTACACAACTAGTTGCGGGTTTCGAACCCCCCGAACTCTTGCTCCAGTCTTGATGATCTTAACCACTCGGCCACCTCGATTGAACTATGTTGTAGATGAATGCAGAAGTATATTTCAAGTCTGGCAGAAATGCTAAATGCCAGGAAAGCAATAACGTAATGCAATGTTTTTCGCTACATTTGCTTTCTAAACACATCGCTACATTTGCTTTCTCACACATCAAGGCGAATTAAATCCAAAGATTTATATTATATTTAATGCTACTCGGTTCTGCCGCTCATGAGCAGACGTTCTGCTGCCCAGCTGCACCGATGATTAGATATCCGATGCCCTAATTCACCGATGATTCGATTCATTATATGATTGTATTTATTCCATATTATTTAATAATAATCGAATAAATTCAATACTTATAATTAAATTCAATTGAATAGTAAATTAAATTTAACAATTAATTTAATATTACATAATTTGGTCATTATTCATTTAAGTGTATAGCATCTACATCTCTATCTAAAAAAATATGGAATAATATATAGAACAGCAAGATACTAGTTATTTGAAGAAACAATACCATAAATAAATGAAGGGTAATTATTGGCCCGAATTATCTATCGGTGAGACCTTGTGTCTGCCTTGGAGAGACCACCATTCGAGGAGAGTAAAGAATTACTCTACGGGTAACACATGCCCGTGATATGTGAATAAGTGAATTGTGAGACATGCCACAAGCGAACTCGTTACAAATATTTACTGAGCTCAGAAATCAGGAGTAAAGCAATTAACCAATTATCTATTACAGACTCATGGTTCCATTACCGGGATATGACGCAGAAGGTCGCAAGGTGATCTTGGCGCGGTTAGGGGCATGGGATCCCAAAAAGCATAAGCCCAAGGACCTTCTAAAGGCAGCATCGATGCTCCTGGATGTCCTCTTCATGGACGAGGAGCAGATAAGCGTGACGGGCTTCGTCCAGCTGCACGATTTATCAGGCTTTTCCCTCAAACACGCGTCGGTGCTCGACGTCTCGCTCGTCAAGAGGGTTATGACCGTCTGGAGAGTGAGTGTCGCAACCATTCGCCATGTTTAATTATACATTTATCTTCATTTATTGAATAGGCCTTAGGCATCAGGGTAAAAGATAAACACGCCTACCCTATTGAGACATTGAATAGGAATTAATAAATCACATGTCTCGAATGTAGCTGCTTACCTTCAAGTGAAATGTTTGAAATAATTTAAGTTCATACGGCAGTAAGAATTGGCTGTTACATATATACGCGGCTGGTGAAATCCAACGGCTGGTGCTGCCGCCATGCAAACTCATATGCTTCATTTAATTCATGCATCAATTCCTACTATTTTCACAGCAATAATATAAGACCTATTGTCGGAAAAACACTCAAATTAATCATAAATGCAATTGCGACCACTAAACATTTATTCTGAGTATGTTCCAATGTGACCAACATTCGTAATGCCTGCAGGAGGCGTACCCTATTCGACCGAAGGCCGTGCACTATATCAACACCCCCGCTGCCTTCAAACCGATCTTCGAAGTCGGCAAAAAGTTTATGAAAGAGAAGATGAAGAAAAGAGTAAGCCGTGCATAATTTTATCACACAGAAAAATTTATTTTGCAATATTTGCTGATATAGAAATATAATCAAAAGTTATACCGCTTTTTAACGTCATTGCTCTATACGTAGTTACTTCAATTAAATTCATGTCGTACTATATAAACGCTATTTTAAAGCTTCATAGTTTGCTTCAATGCAACCTAACTAATTAAATAGATACCAATATATTCATGAATCGTGACATGCTTGAGGTTTATAGCTTCGTCAAAAGTTTAACACATGTAAAACTTACGCTTATTTTCAGGTCTTTGTACATGATACCAACATGAATGCTCTCAACAAACACATACCAGCATCGTTCTTACCAAAGGAGTACGGTGGATCCAAATATTCACTAGCGGAAGTTACTGGTGAGAAAAGATTTTTATTTGCTAGAACGCACTTCACATTTCTAATCCTTGTGTCTAATGTTGTAACTTAGTGTTTCTGACTAAAATTGAAAAACAAAGTAATAGTAGGAAATCTAAGAAAGAACTTGAGTAAGACATTTTTATATACATGATAATATACTTTTAAGATAAAACTTATTTAATGTTAACTTCTGTAATGAATTACGATGTTTGCGCTCGCAAACATCGTGAACATTACATCATTTTCCTCGTATCTGGATGCTTCCATTATATGTAATTTTTTTAGTTCAATGTGATGCTGGCATGCATATTTCTTAGCCAATGGCGTGGCATAGAAATGTTTATGATTGTAGATTGTCTTTTGCAGAACATTGGGCTAGACGAATTGAGATCTACAGGAAATGGTTCGACGAAGACGAGAAGTATAAAATGACCGACCGTAAGCACGCACTGGCATTGAAAAAAGTCAAAGACGTCGTATCAGCCAGTCAGTCTATAAAAAAACTTGAAATTGACTGACACGCACTACTGAATGTGACACACACTTCTAGGATCACGAATATCCAATGCGGAAATTATGTGGAAGTTTTCTTAGAAAAAATACGCTTCGGCAAATTAGTATAAATAATATGATTTTAGCTATATTAGCAAAAGAACCGTCACACTTTATGTTTTTACACGAGAATAGCCTACTTTTTTGTCTTCTCACAAGTGAACTTTGGAAAAAAATCTATGACGACGCTCATTAAAGCGTTATGGGACTATAAACATGTGTTTTATTTTTCATTCAACGAATTTCTAATTACCATTTCAAAGGGTGTTGAGCCAGTTTGAATTATATATTCCAGTAAATTATACCACAGTATTAATGTCAATTCACCATAATGCGAATCAAATCCAAGTAACGATTGTAGCAATCGTTACTTAAAAATTAATGAAAAGACTATCTCCAACCTCTGTTGCAACTAAAGTTTGTTCTCACATAAATTGGTGTGTGCTATATAGTTTAGTGATCTCATGTTCTACTTAAATGGAAGTTTCATTCAATTTCATCATAATGCAGAGTAAACTTACACGTTCATGCCCGACAACCGTTGAAACTTGCTATTTCATATCATTCAAAATCCATTTTTAGCGTGCAAACTAATGCAAAAGGAGTAATAGTAACAATAGTTTTTGTGTTTTGTAGTTTAGTACTTCACTGCGGACCTACAACTGTTCTGTATGAACTGCCATCAATTGCAAGCGACTCGAAAAATGAGGTTGGACTGAGCTGGTGCGAGTTTTTGGCTTTGTGTTTTGTCACGTACAGACGTCTCCTCTCGTTCTAGCGCTAGCGCAAAGGCCCCTTTCACACAGGGCAGTAAATACTGCCAGCGTCCGACAGTATTTACTGCCGAACCTTAGCGGACATACGAAATGTGCACTGCTGTTCACACACGACTGCATTTACTGCGGCGTAGAACTTGACGCCTGACGCCAGCGTGTGTCGCGCTAAAACTGCGGCGGTAGATTTGCCGCGACAGTTTAGCTTGCAATGATTTTCAATGTAATCTTTCACACTGGATGGTTTTTGACGCCACATCCTAGCAGACAGTGGTGCGGTATTTTAGGTGCATAATAAACAGCACTGCATGACATAGATTATAGCATAATATTATTACATAAATATCGGTACATAAATAATGTTACGATTAACGACCAGAGAATAAATTGATTTAAATTATCAAAGAGTCGGACAATTCTTCAGATGACGTTGGTAGATCAAAAGGCATATATCAAGAAGTAGTTTTAGTTTATTTACGACGTTTCGAATGTAACAAACATTCATTTTCAAGTTACAAAGAGCATTAAATATTGAAATTCTGGTGGAAATAAGTACATAATATATGTAAATAGGATACTATAGTAAAATTTTGAATAAAAAATCACTCTGAAAATCATTTCAAAGTTCAGCCAAATCCGGTAGTTAAGAAAGAGGTAGCAGGCGTCCAATTCGTAGAGACGATGAGGCTAGCCATCTTCGGTCGATTGATGTCAGGCCACTGCTTGATGACAATGCTGGTGGGTTCCTTCAGCACAAAGCGAGTGACGGTCTGGTTGTGAGATTGTCGCGTGTGG